TTTCTTGTCCCCCCCCCCCCCCCCCCCCCCCCCCCACTGTGGCAGCTTGCTATGTCATTTTAATGATAATATATTGCAGAATTATATGGTAGCCCTGTACTAGTTTATAATTTAAAAATGTAAATAGACCCCCGCCCACGTAATTATGTGTGTATATATTTACAACTATGACTGGAGATAGATGTCACCAGCACACCAGAATAATTTGAAATCCAAAGTGTTAATTTATTGAAACGTCAGGTCACCAGAACAGTCCATAATAGAAGTCACCAGCACTCGATAATGTGTGCAAGAAGCACTTTTTATAAAGTTGTCAAATGTGTCATACATACAGCCAACATTTCGGGGCCACGCAGGGTCCTTTCTTCTGGGCGACATAGTGACCCAGAAGAAATCACTATGTCACTAGAAGAAGTTACTTGGTCACTATGACGCCCAGAAGAAGGGAACAAGTGACTAGTGACCAAGTGACTTCTTCTAGTGACATAATGACTGCTGCTGGGTCACTATGTCGCCAGGAAGAAGGGGACCCTGCGTGGCCCCGAAATGTTGGCTGTATGACACATGTGACAATTTAATAAAAAGTGCTTTACTTCATGCACACATCATCGAGTGCTGGTGACTTCTATTATGGACTGTATCTGACACGTCGCCATCCGTGTTGTCACTTCAATCACCAACCTATCATCAAGGGCTGTGTGTTGTATGGAGTGCAGGTGATTTTGTATTATAGGTCACCAGAACAAGCGCTTTCGGGGACGCTGTCATTGCTGAGCCTGATGAGGGGGACCCTGAGTGGCCCCAAAAGCGCTTGTTTTTGGTGACATGACGTTTCAATAAATGAACACTTTGGATTTTAACTTATGCTGGTGTGCTGGTGACATCTATCTACAGTTATTATCTGGCGGCGCCATCCACAGTCACTACAAGCACCCTCATCCCCAGTGATTGTGGATTCCAGGTAAGGTGTGCGGCAAGGAAAATATTCACTATTTACCACTACACTCACAAAATGGTGCACGCTGCATAACTTTTAGCACATTTTTTGCCCCAATTCAATGCACTCTACCATTGCACATGCTGAGGTTCCAGCTGTTCAGACCCAAATCTGTGACGTTCAGGGCGAATTTACATTTTCCCCTGAGAACGGACACCAGCCCCCCAGATAGCAAGAAATTGTGCTGCAAGGTTGAAAATGACTTGCTAAACTATTGCAGACTTGCCAAGCTTCACAATTTTGTTGCACAATTACAGCAAGCCTGCATTGCAAGTCTCCAGACCAGCGAGCTTGCAGAGCTCTTGCTAAGACCTGCAGGACTCTTGCTGTAGACTTGCCAAGCAAATTTGCTACAAATTCAAGTCTACAACTTGCCAGGAATATGTGCAGCAAGTTAACAAAATTACAATTTCACCCTGACACAAGTTTGTGGCAAGTTATCCTTGCTATCTGGGCCTATCATCGAGGGCTGATTCTCCAGGCCTTGCATGCCATTTTACGTTTACATTCTAAAATAATCCTGAAACGATTTTTGACACAAAAAGTTTTCCAGCTCAACTCAGACACAAAAAGGATTTTTTTTTGCTGAATTGCCAGGAATGTAATTCCCAGCCTGGGAGACGGTGCCTGCAGGCTGTGAGCATTTGGAAATCTGTATCAGGTTACGGAGCAGTAAACTTCCCATTACAGAGCTGCAGCATCCTGCAGAGTGACCATCGCTGTCCACATTCAGCACAGCTCACTATCCCCAGTCTTCCTCTCTAAACTATTTCACCGTGAAAATGCCATTGATGTGTCCAACATAATATTGCGTCATTTAATTATAAGCCATACTATACCATACAACTGGCATGTCCGACTAGTGCTACATGGACTGCTTAGCTATACCTATTCCATGTGCTTCTCAGACAGTTTTTCAATTGGATCCGGCTTGTTAAAGTATATACAAACCCAATCATCCAAATCTTATTCAATCTTTAGCATGTTAATGCCTCTTCAAAAATAGTTTTCAACATTTACTTATATTATGATACCTGATGATCCTGCTATGTCAGTCCTTGTTCAGGCATTTCCTGTTCTAGGGTGACAACGCTCTGTCTCTCAATTGTGCTCCTGCGTTGTCACCCTGTCACACTCACTTTCAATGAAGACTACAAGTGGCCCTTTCAACACACATTATGCAGACATGGTCCTCTATTGTCACTATCAAGTACCCTGTCCTGAGCAATGACATGTAACCATCGCTAGAGTACGTATAAATAGTAGGGGACTGCAAAGAGGCTGATTAGAAACCAGTATTATAGAAATTGTTTGTGATACACACAGTGCTTAAGGGCTTGTTCACACCAAATCCAGTACATGCACTATTTTTTGCGATCGCACAGGCATTGCTCTGCCGCGCGTTCCGGTGCGGGCAGGAGGCGTGGCCGAGGTGCCATTGATTTGAATACACCACCATGCTTCCTCCCGCCCCAGAACGCAGGGAGGCTTGCACTATGTGATTCAATCATTACAACTCACTATTAACATGGTTTGCCAGCCACAAAACTACGCTTGCAGTGGACCTACCTAAGCACTGCAAAGGTTAACTGCTGGATTTTTTGTATAGGACTGCATTACAGTGTTTGAAGGGCCCACTAACATCATCACATACAATGCAGGGTCAATAGCCCATGAAGAGGCCGAGGGAGAGATCACAAGCTAAGGCATAGGGGAGACAATATGAACTCTGACTCCTGGGGGAACTGGGGTCAGGAAGGTGCTTTAAAGGATAAGTGCACTTTTGCCATTCCCCGTGACCTGACCAAACCCACCCTACCCCTCCACAGGTGGATACTTACATGGACATGGCCAGGAAAGCAAGACAGGCACTGAATACAAGCATCAGGGGCTGCAGCCACCATAGCAAAGTAAATATCAAAGGGTTTAGTTTAGGTCGGGTGGGGAGTACACTTTGTAGTAAAGTGTAATTCCAGTTTTACAAGCAAATTGCACCTACTTGATTTGTTATGTGTTCCGATCTATTGCGCATCTCTAGCGGGTTAAACTTTATAACTGTCAGCAACTTTGTTCATGTGACAGTGACACTTTAAGAAAGTTTATTCACTTTCAGACATAAAAAAGGAAACTTGTGCAAGCATGCACCAGCTTACACCATACGGTGGGTGTCTGATCTTCAGGAATCTATCCCCGATCAGCTGCCTGGAGAGCGTCACTGGTTCCTTCAATGTGATGCCAACTTGCCATTGAAGTAACACATCATTGGTTCTGCTGAAATAGCAATGGAAGCTCCCATCAGTGATAGCTCAGAGCTTCTAAGCAGTGCTGCTACTAATATCACTCATCAGCTGAAGACCTAAACTGGAAGACTCTAGACCAGTGGTGGCGAACCTTGGCACTCCAGCTATTTTGGAACTACAAGTCCCATGAGACATTGCAAGACTCTGACAGCCACAGACATAACTCCCAGAGGCAGATACATGTTGGGATTTGTAGTTTTGGCACAGCTGGAGTGCCAAGGTTCGCCACCACTGCCCTTGACAATCAACATTTAGGCGAGACATTGGGGGCATGTAGACCAGATTCTGTCTGAAAAATTCATTCTAATTTAATTTGCATTTCATTTCTATTGTACGGCCACCCAAGAAATCTATTAGTGTATGACCACCAAGAAATCTATTAGTGTATGACCACCAAAAAATCTATTAGTGTATGACCACCAAGAAATCTATTAGTGTATGACCACCAAGAAACCTATTAGTTTATGGCCATCAAGGAATCTATTAGTGTATGGCCACCAAGAAATCTATTACTGTATGGCCACCAAAGAATCTATTAGTGTATGGCCACCAAGGAATCTATTAGTGTATGGCCACCAAGGAATCTATTAGTGTATGGCCACCAAGGAATCTATTAGTGTATGGCCACCAAGAAATATATTAGTGTATGGCCACCAAGAAATATATTAGTGCATGGCCACCAAGAAATATATTAGTGCATGGCCACCAGGAAATCTATTAGTATATGACCACCAAGAACTCTATTAGTGCATGGCCACCAAGAAATCTATTAGTATATGACCACCAAGAAATCTATTAGTATATGACCACCAAGAAATCTATTAGTGTATGGCCACCAAGAAATCAATAAGTGTATGGCCACCAAGAAATCAATAAGTGTATGGCCACCAAGAAATCAATAAGTGTATGGCCACCAAGAAATCAATAAGTGTATGGCCACCAAGAATATATTAGTGTATGGCCACCAAGAATATCTTAGTGTATGGCCACCAAGAATATCTAAGTGAATGGCCACCAAGAATATATTAGTGTATGGCCACCAAGAAATATATTAGTGTATGGCACAGCTTTTATCTGTTCTGTTATTACTATGATGTAAAACTGGGCAAACATGCCACAACATCATTGTCTATAAGATCAACATACCAACAATAACATCCTGCAAAAGAACAATATTTAGTAAAGTGATCTCAGTACTTCGCACAGCAACAATGTATATCTTGCAGCTTTCCCCCCCTGAAGACAGAAGCCAGCGAAGTGTGCATAGCTGGGAGTCGAGGCATAGAAGGATGACTTGCTGCAACATGTCATGGAGTGCACTTACTTCTCAGCGCCCCGACCAGCATGTTCCCATCCTTGATCAGCTCTTTAATAAACTTGTTGGTCCGGTCCAGCTCGATTTCGTGACATTTCAGCCTTTCCCTGAAGTCTGGACTATCCAAGCAGGAATCGCTGAACTCCAGAGTCGGCAGCCCCATGGTTTAGAGCCCCGTCACCGATCCTCTCCAGAGAAGAATGAACTTTTTGGAAGTTTGTGCCCCCCCTGAAGCGCCCGACGCGGATCCTATTGGCGGACTTCAGTGAGCGCAGCGCATCCAGGCACCCGAGTGTCGCCGAGAGGAGTGCAGGAGCTGTCACCCAGCTGCATTGTCCCCTGTGATCTGCAGCACAGAGGAAACTCACAAGTCTGCAGACATTTCCGGCAGATCTCAGTCTGTCTTTCCCCTCCCTCCTGTGATCACTCTGCAGCTTTTTGGCTGATCAGTCCTAAAACCAGAGACCCCCCCTCCACCCTCCCAGCTTGTGCCACTCAGGGACTCCCAGCAAGGTCACATTCAGGTCACCTCACATTCCTAGATAAACCCAATGGAGGGAGGTGCGATGGGTCTCCCTTTGTCCTGATTCCTTGAAAGCTGCGAAGACTGGGGAAGGGGGGTCTGCAGGATTTAAGGTGCAGGAGATGGTGAAGACATGGGTCTATGGCAGCTCATAATGAAATATCACAAATCCATCTGTCTGGGGAAGTTTCACTCCAGGACAACACTGAGAAAAGTTCAGGGAAAGAAAAGAACTTGGACAGTTGAGTGGTTTGTCTCCTGACTGCCATCTATAGGGGACACATGGGAGAGCAGCATGACCTCATCGGGGTCATTGTATCATACAAAGCTGCAAATCATTCCGATGGAGGGGAAAAACTATATACAGGAGTCATGCTGGTGATACATAGATCCCAAGTGTCCCTCATTGGGAACCAAATTCCTCTGTCCCTCTTTCCTCCTTAGTGGTCTGATAGAGAGGGGAAATGTCATGCTGGTCATATATGAACAAAGATAGTTGTGATGCACAGATCCTAACTCCCTGGAAGACAACCCCTGATTAAATTGTAATAAAAAAGGAAGAGAAAGATGGGGGGTTTTCTGGCACCAGAGAGACAAGTCCAATAAACTTCAACCAAAATGTATGTATAAAAATATGTAAATTGACATATTTTTATGCATACATTTTGGTTGAAGTTTATTGGACTTGTCTCTCTGGTGCCAGAAAAAAACCCATCTTTCTCTTCCTTTTTTATTACTGGTCATATATACTGTAGCACCCTACTATCCCTAATTCAAACCAAATCCCAGTGTTCCTCTTTCCTCTTCAGTGGTCTGATAGGGGAAAAAATTACATACAGGAGTCATGCTGGTCATACATACTGTAGCACGCTACTATACCTAATTCGAACCAAATCCCTCTGTAATACTTTCTTCTTCAGTGGTCAGATTAGGAGGGCAAAACCTACAAACAGGAGTCATGGTGTCCATACATAGATCCCAACTGTCACTCGTTCGGAACCAAATCCCTCTGTAACGCTTTCCTCCTAGGGGGCAGTGGCGTAACAACTGGGGGTGGGCGCTTGCTCCATGGCCGCAGGACTGAGGGGGGGCGCCATCACTGACCCCCGCTAAACGAAGCCCTTGGCCGCAGATGCAGTGGCTCCCTCTCTCTGCCACATGCACCCGGCTCTGTCATCGGGCGGCCGCTCGCTCCTCCGAGGCCACTGCGGTCGGCCCTCTACAGTGCCTGATTAGAGGGCGCGTCTGCCTTATCCAGCCAGCCCGGATCGCATAGCTTCATAACATATCAGCTAGGGAACTACATGTCCCAGCATGCCCTCATTGCCCCTGTACAACAACCAGATATTGCCGTTCCCTGGGTGATATGTGTGTGTGTGGGGGGGTGTACAGGGACAATGATGGCATGCTTGAATACAGCGTGTGCTGGTTACTACTTAAACCGACGCGCGCAGTGTGCAGCTTCTGAGAAGATACGCTATTAGCGTAGCGGGAGCAATGCAAAATGCGCAGCCGCCTTCCCCGCTGTGCTAATAGCGTATCTTCTCAGAAGCTGCACACTCCGCGCGTCGGTTTAAGTAGTAACCAGCACATGCTGTATGCAGCTTCTAACAGCGTGGGAGATGGGAGGCTGCGCTTGTTTAGTGGATCCAGGAATCAGGTGAGTATTAGAAAAAAAAAAGTTTTATTTCATGTTCTATTCTTAGTTCTAGAATGGCATTGTAGTACTTTCAGGTGGAATACAGCTTCATAACATATCAGCTAGGAAACTACAAGGGTCTTATTGAAAGGGGAAAACCTACAAACAGGAGTCATGGTGCCCAAAAATAGATCCCAACTGTCCCTCATTCGGAACCAAATCCCTCTGTAACGCTTTCCTCCTCAGGGGGTCTTATTGAGAGGGGAAAACCTATGTATGGTCATGCTGACCATACATAGTGCCCAACTATTCCTTATTTGGAATCAAATACCTCTGTCCCTCTTTCATGCTCAGTGTTCCCTCTTTTTGGTCTGATGTATAGACTACTATCTTGCAGCACTCCGGTCTCTGGTTTGAATCCCAGACAGGACACTGTCTGCTTGGTGTTTGCATATTCTCCCTGTGCTTGAGTGGGTTTTCTCCGGGTACCAGGGCCGTAGCTACCATGGGGGGAGTGAGACACTCACCACAGGCGCAGCTGAGAAGGGGCGTAGCCAGGGCCGGCCTGGCTGTGCCCCCTTGCCCCAGTTGCCATGGTGAGAACAGGCGCCATCGGCAACAGGGGCACCAGGCGGCCAAAACAGCTGCGGCTCGGCAGGGAGAAGAGGAGCGGCACAAGCTCCAGCTTCTCCTCAGATCCCCACTGCAGTCCCCTGCTTGTATGGGCAGATCAATCTCTTTTTCTATTTCAAAAGGGAATTATCAGGGATTTGTTTAGACCCCTGATATTTCCCTAAAGTCCCCCAACAGTAAAAAAATAATAATACAAAATAAATGAAAACAAAAACACCCCCCCGCGCACACACACACGCACGCACACACACACACACTCATGCACACATATTATTAGACATGTGCACAGACTAAACATTTGTTTCGGGCTAAATGAATGGAAACTAAAAATGTTTTCATTAGTATTGTCAAACGAAACAAATTTTGTATGTTATTTCTGACAATCTGTGCATGCGCGCTGCCATCCTGGAGGCGGGGCACATGACAAATCACATGGCGTAATCCGTGCGCGGTGTCGGGTGACATAACACATCTGTTGGGTGGCACAATTCTCTGTTCTTGTCACTGGCGCAAAAGGAGCTAGCTACGGCTCTGCCGGCTACTCTGGCTTCCTCTCACACTCCAAAGACATGCTGGTAAGTTAACTGGTTAATTGGCTTTTGTCTAAATTGGAACTCATATGCATAGGAGAAAGGGACCTTAGAATGTAAGCTCCTTGAGGGCAGGGACTTATGTGAATGTTCTTATAAATTGTCAGTGCTATATACAGTACATAACAATAATAAATAAAATAGGATTTCTGCACACCCCATCCCCCTTTTTCCGCTATTTCCTTTTCTATCTCTCTTTTCTCTTTTCATACTACCTTTCTATTACTGTCCTCTTTTCTCCTTTATAACTCCCTTTATTAGACTTGACGTCATTATTAGACTCACTTTATTAGACTTTACCCCGCCGTGACGTCATTGCGCAAGACATCATCACACATGCCATAACATCACATGCATGCGCAGCCATCTTGGGGATGGCAGAGAAAGGAGAGGACGTTCACCAGGCGGTATAAGGTATGCCGCCAGTTCCCCTTTTCTCTCATGCAACTGTTGGGCTCTCGGTTCATGACCAAGTGTCCGACTTTTCAGAGGGGGTGACAGCAAAATGACTGTCAGTCATTTTGCTGTCACCTCTCCAATGGTGTCACCCGGGTGCGGACCCCGTAGTGATGACACTGATGCAGAGGCTTGGGTCCTTGTGTGCCGCAAATACATTATATGTTACTCTGTACGCCTAAACTCCTGTATTTGTGCCTGTGCATGAGCACTTCTTTGCACATAATGGTAATGACGCTCTCACTGTTCAAAATGTCATTACTTTCTTTTCTGTGATGTGAATGGACTTTGCCTTTAGATAAAACAATAAACATATTAAACTCCATAAAGATTATGAAACAAATATTAAAAGTGTTTTATTGCCCTAAACCTCATATTGAACCCCAATTATTGCATATGTTATTTTGAAATCCCATTATGATGGAAAAATAGTGAAGAAAGAAATTGATTATACATGTACGTGTCACTAAACCATTTTTATAAGTGAAACTGAAGCCAAAACGTTTTTTTTTGTTAAGTTTTGGACGGAGTGAAGAGGGATTAGATCACCTGCCAGTTTTTATTGCTGTCTGTATTAGGGTTGCCACCTGTCCGGGATTCACTCGGACAGTCCAGTTTTTGAGTCCTGTGTCCAGGTTTCAGGCCAGCTGACACCCGGACACAAGACACTAAGTGCCAGTGTTTTAAATTTTTTGCCAGATGCGGCTGCCTGAGGTCCCGTGCTTGCTGGGGACCTCGGCAGCCTTCCAATGAACCGCAGGTGTCTGTCTTCCTGGCACCATGCTGCTCGCCTTTGGACCCCTGGTGAGACCCCACACAGCCTGCACAGCACTCCTGAAAGCTTTCATAGCCCACCTGAGAGCCCGCATAGCCCACCTGAGAGCCTGCATAGCCCACCTGAGAGTCCGCATAGCCCAACTGAGAGCCTGCATAGCCCACCTAAGAGCCCGCATAGATCACCTGAGAGCCCGCATAGCCGCCCTGAGAGCACGCATAGCCTACTTGAGAGCCCGCACAGCCCACCTGAGAGCCCGCATAGATCACATGAGAGCCCGCATAGCCCGCCTGAGAGCCCGCACAGCCCACCTGAGAGCCCGCATAGATCACCTGAGAGCCCGCATAGCCCACTTGAGAGCCCGCACAGCCACCTGAAAATTGCTGCATGCAGCACTAGGGTGTTCGGGTTTCACTTGAAGAAAAGGTGACAACCCTAACTTACACATGAGACTACTGTTTATAGAGCAGCCCAGGAGAGAAGTTTTAGATCCTGACTAGTTGGTACCGATGACCCTGCACACTATATTGAATTTTGCACACCACTCCTGGTCAGCACTGTAATGCTGCTGCAGTACACGTGTGGTGCTAATGAAAATACTTAACT